GAGGCCAGGCTCTTGGTGCCTGGCTGGGAGCGGGGAGTCTCGCCCACCTCCCAGGCTGCCCAGCGCCGTGCTTTCCACGCCGTGCCCGCATCGCCTGCTGCGCTGCCCAACCTGCTGCGCATCTCTACCTCCCCCAACATCTACACACACACACACACACACCACCACCTGCCCCACTGCAGGTGTTTTCCGAGTTCTTGGCGCAGTGCGGGCGGGGGCTGACCCCCAACCCCGACCTCGCCTGCAACCGGCACATCAAGTTCGACGCCCTGCTCAGCTTTGCTGGGCAGCTGGGCGCAGGCCTGGGTGGGTGGGGCGGGGGGGTGCCTTTGCTGGGAATGGTCGTTGGCTGGGCTGGGCTGGGCATGCTCAGCAAGGTTGTGCCAGCACTGCGGGTGTGCTTGTTTGCCTGTGCATGTGAATGCTCTGGCTGATGTCGGTGAGCAAGCCAGGCGCTCCTCGCACCATCCACCTGCCCTGCCGCCTGCCCCTGTGTGCCTGCAGTCGCCACGGGCCACTACGCGCGGCTGGCGCCCGGCGGCGGCGGCGGCGGCGGCGGCGGCGTGTCGCTGTTGCGCGGCGCCGACCGGCTCAAGGACCAGTCCTACTTTCTGGCCTCGGTGCAGCCGGCGGCGCTGCGGCGGGTGCTGTTCCCGGTAGGCCACCTGAGCAAGGCGGAGGTGCGGCGCTTGGCGGCGGCGGCGGGGCTGGCCACGGCCGACAAGCGCAGCTCAGCCGGCATCTGCTTCATAGGTGAGGGGGAGCGGGTGGGCTGGGGGGGGGCAGGCGGCTGGGTGCAGTGCGGCAGGGGGAGGGACGGCAGGGGAGTCGCTGCAGCAGTGGCATGCCGCTTGCCGCGGCTGTGCCAGGGGTCTCGCCGCCTCCCAACCCAGACTCGTTTCATGCATCTCCCGCGGGCTTGTTGGCCCACAGCCAGCCAAATCCTGCCTGCCTGCTCGCTTGTCTTGTTCTTCTCCAGGGCGCCGCAACTTTGCCGCCTTCCTGGGCCAGTACCTGGCGCCGCTGCCGGGGCGCTACGTGGATGTGGGCAGCGGCGCTGTGCTGGGCACCTGCCCCGACCTCGCCGCCGTCACGCACGGCCAGCGCCCAGGCATCGGCGGCGCGCCGGAGCGGGTGTATGCCGTGGGCAAGGACGTGGTGAGGGGCTGGGCGGCTGCAGCTGCTGCTGCCGGCACTGCTGGCCTGCTGTGGCGGGTGGTGGCGGGTAACTGAACAGGTCACTTGCCTGTGTTCTGTGGCGCTGATGGTGCCTGCGCTGGCCTCCTCCATGCCTGCCTGCCTGCCCGCCTGCCTGCCAGGTGGAGCGTGTGGTGTATGTGGCGCAGGGGCGGGGCCACCCCGCGCTGCTGTGCACCACCGCCCTGCTGCGCACGCCGCACTGGCTGAGCGCGGGTCACGCGGCGCAGCTGGCGGCGCAAGGCTGGCTGCGGTGCCAGTACAAGGCGAGGTATGGGCAGCAGCCCAGGCCCTGTACCATCCATGCGCTGGACCGCCAGGCAGCTGCGGCCCTGGCGGAAGCGGCCAGCGCCGCGGAAGCGGCGGCGGCAGGTGGCGAGGCAGGAGGGAGCGGCAGCGCAAGCAGCGGCGGCACCGCGGCTGCGACCTCCGCGGCAACAGCGGCAGAAGCAGCAGCGGTGGAAGCAGCGGCGGTGGAGGCAGCAGGGGAAGCGGCGGGGGAGGCAGCCGCCGCCGCCGAAGCCGAGCGGCTGGGCTTCCGCCCCAGCGCCTACTGCCGGCTGCAGCCCCAGGACAGCCGCATGCTGGGCAGCTACCTGGTGGTGCGCTTTGACGAGCCAGGCGTGGCCATCACGCCCCAGCAGGCGTGCGTGCTGTACGACGGCGAGCTGTGCCTGGGTGCCGCGCTGATCGCGCTGCCGGGCACGTCTCTGCACGAGGAGGCGGGCGGCGACGGCAGCGCCGGCCAGCGGCTGGACACAGCAGGGGCCTCGGCGTAGTGGCATGATACTCGCACCCTGTGCCATTGGCTCTAGTACCTTTGTGTTGTATCAGGGCTGCGGACCCCCAGGCTTACTTAGGGCTTTTCATTGGCGGAGTCCTTACAAGAGAGGGAGGGCAGGAGGGGGTGGTTGAGAGGAAAGGATCGTCATTGGGGCAGCAAACAGCTGGGCTGCAGCATTCCCCTATCGTGTTTTGGACCAGAGTCAATGGTGGGCAAGGGGAGGCGGTAGAGGGAGCTGCGTGGTGCACAGGACGGTGTGGAAAACAATAAATGGCCGCAGGCCACTGTCAAAGCCTCGGCATGCCCTGGAAATCGAAGATGGAGTTTTCATGTGAGGAGGATCGTGGGCGTTGAGTGGGGGTGGGGCGGGACGCCCGCCACTTCCCAGAGAAGGCAGCTCACGGCATTAAATGGTCCCGAGAGTCGCGGCAAAGAGGCTGGCAAGAATACATGCATGCAACAGGGGGGTCAAAGGGGCGGGGCAGACGGGTGGCCGCATGTCGGCGGGCAATGTACAGTAAGGGGCAGGGATAACGGTGAAACTTGTGCTGTCATGTGGTGGGGATGCCATGGCGGCAGCCTGCGCTGGATTGTCGTTATCGTTGAGTATGAGCCTGCTGGGCTGAGCCACCGCCGGCAGGCGCGTGGAGCCATCAGCGCTGGTAGGTGACATCAAACTGGCTGATGCCGCCCGGCACAGGCAGCTCTGCCACGGCGCGCTGCCAGCCCGCCAGGCTGCTGGCCGTCGCGCCGCCCTGCCCCTGCTGCAGCAGCAGGGCGGGTGTCCCAGCCCTGCTGCCGCCGCCGCCGCCGGCGACCTCCTTGCCGGCAGCGGCGGCGGCGTGGGCGGGCGGTGCTGCTGTCTGCGCGCCGGGCTTGCTGCCTGGCGGGGCAGGTGGCAGGAGGATTGAGGGGTCCACACAGCCCATGTAGTCTGTGAGTTGGATGCGGGTCAGGGTGGGCAGCAGGCGGGTGAGGGCAGCCAGGTACCTGCGGGGTGCACAGCAGGGGGCGGCGGGCGGGCGCATGTCATGGTGTGGGCATAGGCCCGTCAGCCACCCTGGCGGTGGTGGCATCCTGCTGCCTGCCCACACACAGCCCACAGGATGCGACGATGGTGGGTCGGCGGCAGCGGCAGAGGTGACGCGCCTCCCAGCACTCCCCGCCCCACCTCTGCTCCAGGGAGGCCATGGGGTGGAGGTGCTGCCCGGCGCCGCCGCCGCCCGGGCGCTGCAGGAAGCCCCAGCTGGCGTCCAGCAGCCCGGCCTGCTGCTCCTCCTCCTCGCCTGGTGCTGCGCCACCACCACCGGCGTGTGCGCCACCCCCGGCCTCCATCTCCTCATCCCCCTCTGACCCCGCCTCAGACCCCGCCTCTGACCCCGCCTCTGCCTCCTCCATGTCCTCGTCGCTGCTGCTGCTGCTGCCGCTGCTGGCAGCACTGCTGGCCGCCGCCTGGTCATCATCCCAGCTGCCGGCGCTGCTGCCATCCTCCTCCTCCTCGCTCCCCTCCACAGAGCCATCCCCGTCGCCGCTCGACTCGCTCTCGGACCCGCTGCTGCCGCCGCCCGCCTCGCTGCTGCCAGCCGCCTCCCAGTGCTGCCACACAAAGCAGCGCAGCTCCAGCTCCCGCAGGCACCCCAGGCCGTGGCCCTGCGCCGGCACGTGCACGCTGCTGCGCGCCGCGCTCAGCAGGTCCCGCCCGCAGCTGCCGGCGCTGAGGTCGAGCGCCAGGCGGCGCAGCAGCGGGAGGCCGCGCAGCGCGATGCGCGCCCCCGCCTGCGGCGTCAGCGCCAGCCGCGTCAGCTGGGTGAGTGAGTCCAGGCCGGCGCCGCTGCCCAGGCCGTCGAGGGAGAGGGCGGAGAGCTGCGGCAGGGGGCAGGAGGGGCGAGGGTGGTTGGCTGGCTGGCTGGCTGGTGCAGTCGTGGGGGTGGGAGCTTGACAGGGTAGGATGGTGCCAAGGCCCCACACCTGAGTCTTTGCATGCAAAGCACACTTGAGCCTGTGTGCGCATGGTGGCACCGAGGCCCAGCGCAGCTGAGGGAGGGGCGCCCACACCCTTGCGGCCCACCTGCTTGAGGGAGGCGAGGGCGGCGAGGTCGCCCTGCAGGTTGAGGGGCGGGGCCTCGTCCTCCTCGTCGTACCGCACGCTCAGCTCCCGCAGGCCTGCAGGCGTGAGTTGGAGGGGAGAGGGGCAGAGGGTGGGTGAGGTTTGGAGGAGGGTGAAGAGGAGGAGGGAAGGGCAGAGAGGCAGCCAGGCTTCACATCGGCAGGGAGGAGGGCTGGCACAGGCGGTGGGTGGGAGGGAGAGCAGCGGGCACCGACCCCCAGAGGCAGAGCAGCTGCTTGGCCACCTGCCAGCCCCGCGGCAGCAGGCGGGCCGCTGTGCGGCGGCCCCCACAGCCTTCACCTGTGAGCTGCTGCAGGCTGGCAAAGCCGGCGGGCAGCTGCACGCCCTGCAGGTCCAGCCGCGTGAGGCCGCCGTGGCGCAGCGGGCGCAGGTCGGCGGCCACCCCCGCCGAGACGGGCGCCAGCAGGGCCAGGCAGCGCAGCGCGGGCAGCGTGCCGGCGCTGACGCAGCCCAGGGCTGTGGGGAGGTCGTCGTCAGGGGCCAGCTTGAGGGCCAGGCGCTCCAGGCGGGAGTAGCAGGTGGGGGCCTGCGCGGCAGCGCAAAAAAGAAAGCGCGGCGCATGGGGCGGCATGACCGCGCGCGGGCTGGTGTGCGCCGCCCAGGCGCGGCCAGGGCGGGCGTGCAGGCGTGGTGCAGTGCTGGAGAGGTAATCAGGGAGGTGGGGAGGAGGGTGGGGCCAGGCGGAGCTCACCTGCAGCGCAGCCGGCAGCGTGGCGGCCCGGGTGTTGCACGCCGTCAGCTGCGCCGCCAGGCTGCCGTCGAGGCGCACCAGGCCTTGCGGCACGCTGACCGCCGCAAACAGGCCCTCTGCCCCGGCCGTGGCCAGCATGCGGTGCAGCTCAGCAGCGGTGGCGTCCATCTCGGGAGCCGCCACCAGCAGGGTGAGGGACCGGGGACGGGAGGCGGGCGGGCCAGCGCGCTTTCCACCACTCAGCGCCGCGGCCGCGCGCCTCAGGTGCCATGCCGCGGCCGCAGGGCGCAGCCTGCGCCCCCCCTGCTGCCACAGCCGATGCTCCTCTGGGTCCCAGGTGTGTGCCTGGGCGGCTGCCGCGGCCGGGGAGCCGCTGGCGGTGCAGGCTGCGGGGCTGGTCAACGCGACGGTGACGACAGACGGTGCGGCCAGGAGGCGAGCGGGGATATCGCGGCTGCGCTGCCTCAGATCGATGGCCACGCCTCGCACAGTCCACCTTGCTGCCTCAGAGAAGGCTGGGGAGGCGGTGGAGCTTAGGAGGCGGTCGGGGAGGGGCAGATGGCTGATGACTTTGGTCAACATCTCAATCATCATGCAGTCGAAATCCGGACTCCGAGACCCTTCGTTCCGACCCTCTCCCTCCCTCTGGCGACCTGCATGCGCCCCGCGGGCATCAATTTCGGTCAGTGTGGGATATAAACGTCCCATGCGAAGGGCAGCAGGTGGCTTTCGAGGCAGTCCGGTCATTCACGCATGCCCTGGCATGTGGGTGGGTCGTGATGGTGCAAACGGCAGGCAGGCTGCCTCCCCGCCCGTTTTGCAATGCCCAGACGACCCCTAGCACTGGTTTGAGGGTTCGGATCAGGCAGACAGCGCCATGGCGCACGATTGCGCAGGCCCTCCCACAGGCCGAGGGCAGCCCGGAAGGCTGGGCGGGGTGCCGTTGGCCATCTCAGGGCCCCAGGCACCATCACTCACCCCTGCAAGGCTCCATGGGGGCCCCCGCGGGACCCTGGACGGCTGGTTCTGGCGCAGGAGTGGAGGGCACGTTCACTAGCGGTGCCCTAACTGGCGGCTTCCACCAGCAGCAGCGGCTTGCGGAGCGTCTGAGGGCGAGCGGCAGGGGAGGGCCGGTAAGAGCCACAGCGGTTCCGCAGTACAATGTACCGCGGCCGGCGAGCCTCTTTCGCCAATTCCCCCTCCCCGCCGCCCAAGTCCCACCCCAACAATGGAGATCGGTGGGAGGCAATGAGGCAGCCCAGAGGAAGCAACAAGCGAGGCGCCACGGATCAAGCCAGTGGTGTGGCCAAAAAGTCGAGAGCCAGCAGCAGGCAGGTACCCGAGCAGGCAGCCAGGGGCACCAGGCGCTCCAAGGAAGAGCTATTGGCCGAAAGTGAGGAGCCAGAGCGCCTCCTCCGGCAGAGGCGCCGGGAGCAGCAGCAGAAGGAGAGGCCCAAGTCGGGCCGTCAGCCCCGGCGCGGCAGGGAGCAGCAGGAGAAGGGTAAGGAGCAGCAGGCAGGGCGCGGCGAGCCGGCGCAGCACCCAGCGGCAGGCATGGAGCGCCGGCAGCGCCCCGGCAGCGCGGGCGGCCCGCCCGCCCAGCAGCAGGTGACCAATTGGGGCTGCGCTGGGGGTATTGGCATGTGCTGGGTATGTGTGCGCGCTGTCTGGCCTACCTCGTGCGCCGCCTAGCTGACGAGATTCTGTGCGCGCGTTGGTGCAGGCTGGCGGGCGCGCAGAGGGCGCAGACGAGCAAGGGTGAGCGGTGTTGAAGCTGCCTGGCAGCTTGGCAGGACCTCGCAGCATTCTGGTGGCCCAGGGTTCAACGGGGCAGCCCAAGCAGCCACGCCCGCCGTCGGCTGCCTGGCCTGCCCGGCACCCGCCTGTTGCGATGCAGCCCGCCTGGGCTTTTTTATCGTCGGGCTGCCAGCGTCACAAGCATGTCCTCCGCTGCCCCGCTGCCTGCGCTGCAGCACGCTGCAAGGCCTGCTGCGCCGCCTGGGGGCCGGGTATGAAGACATCTATCCGGGGGCCGCCATGGGCGGCAGCGCGCGCGTCAGGGTGGGTGTGGGTGCTGCGGCGCGGGCCTGGGGTCTCCCTTGGCTGGCCGGTGGGCGCTGCCTATGGGTGTGCCGTGGGATGGGTGCCTGGTCCAGGCGTCGGGGCGGGGCGGGGCACCGGCTGGGAAGCACAGCTGTGCTGCACCGGCCGGCAGCAGCAGCTCATGCCGGCGACCAAGGTCCGCTTTGTGCCTCGGCCCCCACCTGCCCCCCTCCCCCCTCCCGCCCCTGCCCGCCCCCCTGCCACCACCCCCCTGCAGGCCATCGTGGTGCAGCTCAAGGATGAGGACGAGGTGGGGCAGCTGGCGGGGCTGACGGAGCTGTGCGAGTTCCTTTCCATCTCAACTGAGGACACGCTGGCCGCCTTCCCCACGGAGCAAGTCGTGCCCCTGCTGGTGAGGCCGCCCCGCCCCGCCCGGGTGGCGTGGCGCTGTGGCCTGCGCGCCGGCCGCCGCC